TTTCCTTGTCATTTTGTACTGCTTAGTACCCCAAGTACAAAAGTGAATATAAGTGATGGTTGAACAGAAGTGATCCCATAAAGAAAGCATTCTATCTTCATCATGAATTATGATGTTAACTATGGTTTTTTTAATAGATGTCCATCAGGTTGAGACTATTTCTTCTAAGTTTACCTAGTTTTTATCAAAAATAAATGTTCAATTTTGTAAAATGCTTTTCCTGCAATTAGCATAATCACATGATTTTTATCATATCATCAAAATTGTGAATTTATTGGTTTTCAAATGCTAAGGCAGTATTGCATTTTTTTAGTCAAAACTCATTTGACAATGAGTATAATCTTTTTTTATATGTTGCTGAATTTGATTTGCTAGTATTTTCTCAAGAATTTGAAGTCTATGTTCATGAAGGATACCATTTTTGCAGTTTTCCTTTCTTGAAATATCTACAGCTGGCTTTGCTAACAGGGGAACACTAAGCCTCATAAAATAGTAAATGTTTCCTTCTCTTCCCCTTTCTCTGGAAGAAATCAAGTAGAATTAGTATTATTTCTTCCTTAAATGTTTGATAGAATATTATTGTGAAGCCATTTAGGCTGGAGATTCTTTTGTAGAAAGGTTTTAAACTGCAATATTCAGTTTAAAAAAATATAGAGTTATTTGGGTTTTCTATTCTTATATAGGCTTGTTTGTATCTTTTATGGAATTAGTCAATTTCATCTAAGTTGTCATATTGTCCTAAAGTTGTTCATAATGTTTATTATTCTTGCAATGTCTGTTGGATTTGTAGTGATGTCCTCTCTTTCACTCTTGTTACTAATAATTTGGGTCTAGCTGCAGGTTTACTGATTTTATTGATATATTGATATATTTAAAGTCATACTGACTTTGTCCATTTGTCTTATATTAAACATATAATCTTATTTTTATTATTCCTATAAGCATTGTTTTGACATATATTTTCATTTTCATTCAATTCAAAATATTTTTTTCTGTTTCTTTGTGATTTCTTCTCTGCCCTGAGACTATTTAGAAGTATGTTGTTTAATGTCCAGATACTTGGGGATTTTTCAAATAACTCTGTTACTGAATCCATTAACCCCATCAAATGAGCTTTTTAAATTTCAGTTATTATATTTTTGAGTCCTTGAATATCCATTTGATTGTGTCTTAAAGCATAATTAACATAGTGTTATGTTAGTTTCAGTGTACATTGATTTGACAAATCAACACATTATTCAGTGCTCACCTTAAGTGTAGTTACTGCTTGTCACCATACATTATTTCAGTATCACTGACTATATTCCCTATGCTAAACTTTTAATCTCCAAGACAATATATATATATATATATATATATATTTTTTTTTAAATATTTTACAGTTAGAAGTTTGTACCTCTTAATCTCCGTATTCATTTCACACATCCCCTACTCACTCTCTCCAGCAACTACCAGTTTGTTCACTATATTTTAGAGTTTTTTGTTTGTTTGCAGCACAACTTAAAAAAGCCAAGTTCCGGAAGTAACCCAAAGGTCCATCTATAGATGAATGAAAAAAGGTGATGTGGTATATTGGGACTATTTAAAAGTAAAAAGCTTTTGCAGTGAAGGAAACCATCGAGAAAACAATAAGGAAACATATTGAGTGGGAGATGATATTTGCAAATGATATATCTTATAGGAATTAATATGGAAAATATATAAAGAACTCTAACAAGTCAACACGAAAAAAAAATCTGATATAAAAATGGGCAGAAGACCTGAATAGAGATTTTCCCAATGAAGACATACAGATGCCAACAGACACATGAAAAGATGCTCTGCCTCACTAATCATCAGGAAAATAAAAATTAAAACCAGGATGAGATCATCTTACACTTATCAAAATGGCTAGAAGCAAAAAAGAAGAAATAAGTGTTAGCAAGGATGTGGATAAAGAGGAACTCTTGTGCAGTGCTGGTAAGAATGCAAACTGATACAGCCATTATGGAAAACTGTAGGGAGGTCTCTCAGAAAATTAACAGAAATACCATATAATCTAGTAATCCCACTATTGGGTATATGTAAAGAAAACAAACATGCTAATTCAAAAAGATACATGCACCTCTATGTTTATTCCAGCATTATTAACAATAGCCAAGATTTGTAAGAAGCCCAAATGTCATCGATAGATGAATCAACAAAGAAGATGTGTGTGGGGTGTGTGTGTGTGTGTTGTGTATGTAAATATATATATGTGTGTGTATATACACATATATATAAATACAAAATAGAATATCACTCAGCCATAAAAAAAGAATGAGATCTTGCCATTTGCAAAACATGGATGCACCTACAGTGTATTATGCTAAGTGGAATAAGTCAAAGAAAAATACCATGATTTCACTTCCATGTGGAATCTAAAAAACAAAATAAATAAACAAAAAACAGAAACAGACCCACAAATACAGAGAACAAATTGATGATTGCTAGAGGGGAAGTAGGTGGAAGGATGGGCAAAACAGTTGAAAGGGAGTACGAGATACAGACTTCCAGTTATGGAATAAGCTACTTGGACAAAAGGTACAGCGTGAGAAGACAGTCAGTAGTACTGTAATAGTGTTATATGATCACAGATGGTAGCTGCACTAGTGGTGAGCACAGCACAATATATAGACTTGTCAAATCACCATGTTGTATAGCTGAAACTAATGTAATGTTGTGTGTCAACTATATTTCAAAAGATGATGTGGAGGGATGCCTGGGTGGCTAAAAGGGCACGTGGCTAGTGTCTGACTCTTGGTTTTGGCTCAGGTTATGATCTCAGGGTCAAGGGATGGAGCCCCATGACAGGGGAACTAGGAGTCTGCTTGAGACTCTCTCTCTCTCCCTCTGCTCTGTCACTCCCACTCCATCCCGTGCTCACGTTTGTTATTTTTCTCATGATTACTAGTCACATGTTCCTGTCTAGCAACATACTCCTGTTTCCTCAGTAACAACCATTTTTTATTTGTTGTACAGGGAATGTTGGCCAGCTGTGACTTAGTATCTCTTTCTTGGAAGTAGAAGTCTTCCCTTCCTCCTGAGATTTCTTTTCTTTCATTGTAGGAATACTAAACTGTCATTGTGTCTATTTATTGAGAAACTGCTTGAATGCTGGATACTATTAGTTGATTCTGTTCTTAATTTTTCAAAAAGATTTATATATTTGAGAAAGAAAAAGAGCATGAACAGGAGGGACAGAAGGAAAAGGAGAGAGAATCCAAGCAGACTTTGTGCTGAGCCCTAAACTAGTTAATACAGGCTTAAATAGCCTCTACATATTTCAATAGACCCTGAAGTAATTTATCTTGATACAGTATAGTAATTGTTATTTATGACAAGAAGCTTGAATTTGAAAGTAAACCATATCCTATTACTATTAAGATAGAGGACTATCTAATAAACTTTGGCAAAACTGAAATCAAAATGACTAAAACTAGGGATGCCTGGGTGGCTCAGTGGTTGAGCATCTGCCTTTGGCTCAGGTTGTGATCGTGGGGCTCTGGGATCGAGTCTCACATCAGGTCCCTGCAGGGAGTCTGCTTTTCCTTCTGCCTATTTCTCTGCCTCTCCCTCTGCATCTCTCATGAATAAATAAATACAATCTTTTTCAAAAAAATGACTAAAGCTGGAGCACCTGGGTGGTTCAGTCAGTTAAGCAGCTGACTTATGGATTCAGCTCAGGTCATGATTTTGGGCTCCTGGATAGAGCCCTGTGTCAGGCTCCGTGCTCAGTGGGAACTCTGCTTGAGGATTCTCTTTCCCTCTCCCCACCACTCCCCTGGCTCATGCTTATGCACTCTCTCTCTCAAAAAAATAAATATTTTTTAAAAAGTAACTAAAATAAAAATTCCAGTTGGGTGATATACAAGTAGATTAGAGTTCTACTTAGGACCCAAAGTTTTTATATCATGTGATCTTAGAAATGACTAAGTTTGTGAATAACATGAAGAATTTGTAACATTGACTTTAACAAATGGGAGATTTTGCAAAAGGTGTGATGTTTCAAAGTTAAAAGAAAAAAAGTAATAGACTGTGGTTAAAAAACAATTCTTGGGCTTGCCTGAGTGGCACAGTTGGCTAAGCCTCTGACTTGATTTCGGCTTGGGTCATAATCTTGGGGTCATGGGATGGAGCCTGCATCGGGTTCTGTGCATGATGAGGAGTGTGTTGGAGACGCTCTCTCCCTCTCTTTGCTCTGCAGCACCCCCATGCTCTCAAATGAATAAATAAAATCTTTAAAAAAAAATAACAATTACCAGAGAGGGTGAAATCAACATGCTGCGAGTGCAAAAAGCAAATGTAAAGACAAGATGATGACATGAAGGAGAGGTCATAGAGGGCACGTGGCACAGGTTTCTGAAAGCAAGAATCATTCGAAGGAATGCTGAAGAATGGGAGAACAGGGTGGTGAAGTAGTTAATACACCAAGCTTTAGTGGTGTTTATAAAAATTAATACAAGAAACAGCATAAGTGAAATAAATGGACCAACAATACCTGTAAAAGTCTATTTGCAGATGAGTTAAGGAGACTCATATAATAGACTATAAAAATAGACTTAAAATATCAAGGTTATCCAAAAGAAAACAAGTTTTCGAAAAGTACTAGATATAGGGAATCAAGAACTGAAATGAAAAACAGGTACACAGTCTAACGTAACAGAAAATCAGTATCTTGCTTTTGCTGAAATGGAGACAGTATTAGGTTTTCTTTTAAGTCCTGTTATAATATGACTGGTTATCATTTCCCCTAAAATTTTAAATGTGTTAGGCTAAAACTAAAAGTTATTTTATCTTGTATTTTAAGTTAGCACAGGGAAGGCAAAAGCGGTTTAATTTTTGTGTGCATAAAGATTTCATTATGTGATAAATGTTATTATTTGCTAACTAAGCCAAAAGCGTATCAAGTTCTGAAATAGTAATCTCTGTAAAGACAATCTTAAAAATTATTTAGTAAGCTTATGAATAAACCACTATACCTTAGCAAGTGATTTTACAATAGGATTCTCCATAATCCCCTTGAGGAAAATTAGGTCTATTTCTTCTGCTCCTGTAGATGAAGGGAGCTCCGTAAGGTTATCCAACACTTGCTGCATTGCTGCTGAGATAAAAACAACAAAAAAAGAAACCAAACCCTTAAATTCGAAGCCATTATGAAATAGAATTATAAAATATTTGATAGATTTAAAATAATTCAAATAAAGACATTAACAACACTTTTGAAAAGTCATGTTTTAAAAACATGAATTGTTAAAAATGGTATTAAGTTTCACACTGAATTCCCCTGAATTGGGAGGACATGTTTTTATACACAATTTAGGCTTTATCAAGAGTACCTTAACATACTTACCACTTTACACTTGCTTTATATATATATATTTTAGTTTAAAACATTACTCAAGAAGAAATACAAAATTTTAATAAACCTATAAGAAAATAAAGAGATTGAATTAGTAATCAACAGACTTCCCACAAGCCCAGAACCAGATGGTTTCACTGGTAAATTCTACTAAACTTTAAAGAGGAACTAAAACCAGTACTTCACAAACTCTTCCAAAAAAAAAAAAAAAAGGAGGGAATACTTCCCAATTATTTTGAGATCCTGATACTAAATCCACAAAAAAAAGTATCACCAGATAATTACAGTCAATATCCTTTATAAACACAGATGCAAAAATCTTTTAATGAAATACTGACAAACTGAATCTAGCCACATATAAAAAGGATTGTACACAAGGACCAAGTACAACTTATCTCAGGAATGCAAGAATGCTTCAACAAGTGAAAATCAATCAGTATAATACACTGTATTAACAGAACATAAAATAAAACTACATGATATCTCAATGGGCACAGAAAAAGCATTTGACAAAATCCAAATCCTGTTCATGATAAAAACAATCAACAAACTTAGAAGGGAAATCTCCTGAACTAGAGGAAAGGTATCTATGAAGAATCTGTAAGTAATATCATATTTAATGGTAAAAGACTGGATACCTTCCCATAAGATCAGGAACAAAGCAGTATCTCTAATCTTGCCACTTACACTCAACATTGTAGTGGAGATTCTTGCCTAACAAGGCAGTTAGGCAAGAAATAAAAAGCACTGGAAAGGAGTAAGTAAAATTATCTTGTTTTGCAGATAACATAACCTTGTATATAGAAAATCCTAAGGAATATGCCAAAAAAAATTATTAGAATAAATGAGTTCAGAAAGGTTGCAGGATACAAGGTGAAAATACAAAGATCAAAAACATTCCTAAATATTATTGATGAATAATCTGAGAATGAAATTATGAAAACATACCTTTTACAACAGCATCAAAAACAGTAAAGAAATTTGGGATAAATGCAACAAAGGAAGTGTAAGACCTGTACACTGAAACTATAAAGCATCACTGAAAGGATTACTGAAGACTAAAATAAATAAAAAGATAACCTACATTCGTGGATTGGAAGACTTAATATTGTTAATTTAAGATGGCAACACTCCCCAAATAGATCTACAGACTTAATGCAATCTCTATCAAAATCTCTACTGGCTCTTCCCTGTTTTTTTTTTTTTTTTTTTTTTTTCAGAACCTGAGAAGTTGATTCTAAAATTCGTATGAAAAATGCAGTGGAATCAAAATAGGCAAACAATCTTCAAAAGGAACAAAGTTAGAAGACTCACACTTCATTTCAAAATTGACTAAATAGCTACAGTAATCAACACTGTGTGATGATAGCATAGAGAGACATAAAATGTAAGAGTCCAGGCGTACATGGTGGCTCAGCTGGTTAAGCATCTGACTCCTGGTTTCTGCTCAGGTCATGATCTCATGGTCATGTGATCGGGCTCCACACTCAGTAGGGAGTCTGCTTGAAGATTCTCTCCTCTTACCCTCCCCTCCTCAAATAAATATATCTTTAAAAAAAAAAAAAAAACAAAAAACACAACTTACAGTCCAGAAATAAATCTGTATCTTTAAGGTCAAATGACTCTCAACAAGGGTGGCAAGATAATTCAACAGAGGAAATATAGTCTTTTCAACAAATGGTACTGTGACAACAGAATACACGTATGTAGGAGAATGAAGCTAGACTCCTACTTCACTCAATATCATAGTCTTAATATTATTCAGATTAATTTTATTAGTTTTGTCTCCTCTTGGAATAAGTTAAATAAAATTGCAGGTTTTCATATTTTTTATTTTTATTAAGATAAAATATAAACTTTTAAAAATCAGATTGTACTTACTGGCTATAACGAAATACTGCAGTTCTCTGGTCCATACTGTCCTCCTTCCTCCCAACTTACACCACTCTGAATTTATTTATTTTTATTTTTCTCTTTTTTTGGTTTCTTTTCTTTCTTTTTTTTTCTGAATTTATTATAGTTTCATTTAATCACATCTGTATTTCTGGATAATATGCTAATATTGCTTCTTTTTCATTTACCCATTTTAGACTTTATTTTCTGTTAGAGTACTAGAGGGTTAAGCTTTTATCTTCCCCTATCCCCAGACTAGCAATTTTTAATAAAGTCAACATATGGGAATCCTACATATCATTTCTGTCAGTAATTTTTTCCAAGTGCTCAAATATTTTTCCAACACTTTATCAGACCTACTCCCTGACTTCTACTCCTTAAATCCCTCCCAAAGTGTTCTTTTGTACTTTAATCTGAACAGGCTCATCTCTAGGTCTCCTATTCACTCTGTGAACGACAATTCTCAAAGATGTAAACAGGGAGAAAAATGTGCACTTAGAACAAGGTGAAGGAAAATCTACACTGGGCTAAAATGAAGAAAGGAGACCTAGGAAATAAAAAATACATAGTTTATTTCATAATTTTGTTTGAGACTCAATGTGTACCTTTCAGTGCGTAGAGAACAAGAGAATCAATAATCTTTAGAAGTAGTTTTATCTTATAGCTATATTTAGCTCTACTTCTCATGATGTCTTTTTTCTTTGACAGTCTATTTATTTTTAACTTTTATTATGGTAAACTCCAAACATTTGTAAAAGAAGACAAAATAATATAATGAACTAAATAATTATCAGCTCTAACAACTACCAACTCATGGCAAACCTTGTTTCATACCCCTATATACTTTCTATCCTATATAACTTTGAAGCAAATCCCAGAAAAGACATCTCAGTATATATGTCTAAAAGATCAGGGCTCTTTTAAAATAATATAACCAAAATACTGTTAGCACACCTAACAAACAACAATATCTTAATATCACCAAATTGTTATACTGAAAATCTTTCTAAGATGTACCTTCTGTATTGGTTCTTGAGGTACTTAAATTTTTATATCGGTGCTTATTTAAGTCAGAGGAAAAGTGGTGGAGGTGGTAAAATATACCCTTGGTTATTTTAAAGATCTTCATAGGTTGCTATAGATTCTTGATTATATGAATTTTTTAAAAAGATTTTATTTATTCATGAGAGACAGAGAGAGGCAGAGACATAGGCAGAGGGAGAAGCAGGCTTCCCTGAGGTGAGCCTGATGTGGGACTGGATCCCAGGACCCCAGGAGCACTTTGACCTGAGCCAAAGGCAAACACTCAATCACTGACTGAGTCACCCAGGTGCCCTGATTATATGAAATTTAATTAAACACTGATAAATCTGCCAAATATCCCATGTTCTGGAAAATGGATCATTATTATTAGGTTGCCAAGCATTCCCAAACCAGTTGGTACATTTAATGGGATTCTGATCAAAATGCAATAGACCCATCCACATGTTTTCAGGCCAAGTCTGACTTGTTCTTTCCCCATAAGAAAATGGCCAGGGGGCTCCAGGAAACCTGGATGAGGCAAGGGAGCAGGGAAAACCAACACAGTTCTACACAGGTTGGGAAGTCACAGCATACGGCAGTAACTGGTTGTCCAGGGGCAACGTTGTGCTGGTGAATGTCTACAGGAACCTGATATTTGTTCTGCTGCTTAGTTTTAGGAAAAAGCAAATCGTGTGCTTTACAAGGAAATCTTGAAGGAGACCTCATGTCCCCAAAGACTTCAAGGAGGGGAGATTATACTGTTCAAGCTTTAGGATATCCAGCTTGAACCCAGCTCCCTGAATATGATGGATGATACAAGGTTGCTACATCTGGAAAGCCAGGGAAATCAGAATTGTTACAACTGTCCAGGATGAAAGCTCTGGCCATTGTCCATGCCTCTGAGATCCCATTTCAAGCTAAGGATGGCATCCTCATTGTTTTATGGGGAAGAACTTCCACCCCACTTGCTAGCTCTTTGAATTACTAATACTTCTCTCAAGAAGTACTCAAAGCCTTCACTATATCCTATGGCTGAGATGGCCCACTATGGGATTGAGGTCTGTGGCTAGAGTACTTGTTCTATCAGGAGACCCCGACCAAGCTGGCCACCATGGCCAAGGCATAAAGTGGGAGCTCTCAGCAACAAAAGTAGTCAGCAGCTGGAGACCTAACCCAATTTCCTAAAGTCTCCCCAACAACCATCAGTTACTTCCCCTCCAGTTAGGAGAGTAAACATTTCAAGCACCTCCTTGAAGAGTTTTAAAGACACCGTAACAAATAGGAATACTCTACAATGGATCTGAACTGAAGGACTCTTGCTGGGCTGAGCCAGACAGATTACAGTATACTTGCTGGGCAGATCCAGACTGGTCCAGCCAAAGCCTCACTGAGTCAGAAGCTTCTAGAGCTCAATGCCTAAAGGATCACTCCCTAGTCCTTTCTTGTGGGCAGTTTCAGAACATTCACTAAGACTGTGTTTTCCCTGACAGCAATTTTTTTCTGGAGTTGAATTCAGATGTTATTTTTAACATACCTGTCAAAGCTTCCTTAAAATTCCTTACTTTTTCTTCTTGGTTTTGATATTTTTACCTGCCCTGTTCCATGCTATTTAATCCTAAAGGGGAAGAGTTGGAATAAGGAGACTTGGTTTCTTCCATATCTTCTCCTTTTCAGTTGGGTGAATGGGAACCATCTGAGGTTGGGGCATCTCAGAGTGGATTAGTAAGAAAGGCAGACAGGAACTGGTGGGAAAATTGGTGAGGTAGTAGGTGTACATGCTCCAGTTACACTAGGATGTGAAAATACTAACACAACTTCTCTGG